CATTAATGTGGTTGCATAAGTGAGCACACCCTTAGACTAATCCTTTGTCTTTTGGAGGTGGGGTCAGCATGACACATCATTATTTACCAGCACTCTTCCTGGTAAAAGTGCTCTGAATCTGTCAGATTGTGAGGACATCTCCTATATATAGCCTTCTTTAGGTCACCCCACAGATTTTCATTTGGATTCAGGTTTGGCTCCTGCTGGGCCATTCCAAATCTTTGGTATTCTTCTGATGAAGCCATACCTTCTTGATTTGAAGGTATGCTTTCAACCATTGTTATGTTGAAAGATGAAATTCTTTTCTACCTTCAGCTTTTTAGCAGATATCTGATTTTGCCAACATTGACTGATATTTGGAACTCTTCATAATTCCTTCCACCTTGACTAAAACCATAGTTCCAGCTGAAGAAAAGCAGTCCCAAAGCATAATGCTGCCATTACACATGCTTCACTGTGAGTATGGTTACTTTTGGTGATACATAGTGTTGTTTTTGCACCAAAAATAATGCTTGAATGATGGCCCAAAAGTTCAACTTTGTACTTATCAGACCATAACACATTTTTCCAGTTCTTTTGTCAGACTTGATGTAGGTTTTTGCAAAAATGTAGCCAGGCTTGGGTGTTTTCTTTTTAAGAAAAGACTTCCACCTTGCTACCCTACTCCACAGCCCAGACATATGAAGAATATGAGAGATTGTTGTCAAATGTAGTACACAACCCAGCATTTGCCAGCAATTCCTGCATCTCCTTTAATGTTGCTGTAGGCCTCTAGGCAGCCTCTCAGACCAGTTTTCTTCTTATTTTTTCCATCAACTTCAGAGGGACCCCTAGTTCTTGGTAATGTCACTGTTGTGCCATATTTTTCCACTTGTTGATGACTGTCTTTACTGTGTTCCATGGTATGTCCAGTGCCTTAGAAATGTTTTTGTACCATTCTTCTGATGGATATCTTCCAACAATGAGATCCCTTTGTTGCTTTATAAGCTCTTTTCAGACCCTGGCTTTTGCTGTTAGAGACAACTGAGTAAATGTTAGAAAAAAAATCCTAATAGAACAGTTGAACTTTATGTGGGCTTGATCAAAGTCACTTTAATTGGTGGCAGGTATGTACTGACTACTATTTAACATCAATTTGAATGTGATTGGTTAATTATGTACATAGGTATATCCTTACTTATAAGAGGGTGTGCACACTTTCACAACCACTTCATTGTATGTTTGTATTTTTATTTTTCCCTCACAAAGATTTCAGTTTGTTTTTCAATTGAATTATACTGCTTATATATTATATTAATAGTGGAAAAAAATTGAAATGAATTATCTTGGTGTGATTTTTTTTTTACATCTCAAAAACCAGACATTTTAACAGGCTTTTTATATTCACTGTAGCTATGGACTACATTTGTTACATCTAATTAATCCTTGTCTCTAAAGAATGTCTTTGAGCAAGCTTGTTAGAGAGCTAGGTAAATGAGTAGAAGAAATTATTTGTTTTGAGCAGATCATATGTCCTTTTTGTAAACTTATGCAATTGTGTGAATGAGTGAGGAAAAACTTCTAAAGCATCTGAAGGAACATTTGGAGGTTGTGAGCAGAAGGAGAAAGAATTACATTTGAATCCAGAAAGAGTGGAAATGATAAAATGAACTTCTTCTCTCTGTTCCCCTCTTACTCCCCATCCTCATCATCAGAGAAAACATTTTGAAAAGTTTCCTGAAATTGGGGTTGATTGTTGAGACGCAGGTTAATTCTTACTGAGCATTCATTTTAGATTAATATAAGATCTTTTTCTTCTTCTAGACATCACAGATCTTGCTGCATTGGTCCATTTTTCCAGGAGTGTTCAGTTTGCTATATATGGGACAGACTGCAGCTAAGATATTTGACTGCTTTATATGGAAGCTCTACTGAAAGCAATTCACCTATTTTGCTGTATCCCATAATATAGTTAAAATTGGACCCGAGGGTAAAAATTATGTAGGAAGGGACAAACAGGTCCAACATGACCAGATGTGTAAATATGGTCATTATAAAAATATACATTATTTTTTTAATATATTTGTTAAATCTTCAAGAATTTGAATTCTATATAATGCAATCAGAATAATTCTAGTAAATAAATAAAACAGATATAGAAAAAGGACAAGATTTTTTAAAAATTTCATCATGTATTTTTCCTTAATTCTGGTCATACCTCTAAGTCAACATAAGCTGCTAAAGTCTCAACAAGGTTAAATAGTCATCTCTTATTTTTTCCCCAACTGATCCTTAGTAATTTAAAAATAACTTAAAAACACAATTATATTTTTGTTTATATAGAAACTCCACCAGTTCTGAAAAAAACAATTACTTTTCTCTATTATATAATTTTGCTGAGAGATACAGATTTATAGGCCCCAAATTATTAAAACTAATTAATATAATTATATGAAATAATTAATGTATGAATTCCACGCAACATGTTTCTAGTATATTACAATAGCTCCTTAAGTTCCTGCTATTAAAAATAATAATGGGGGATCTGTGATGAAGAAAGAAGCTTTATTCAGGCTTTGATGGCTCTTAAAAACAGTAGTTCCCAACCTAGCATTCTCCATATGGGTTGGGAATATAAGTCTTAGCATTTCCAGCCAACAAAACCAAAATCCAGGATTCAACTGAGAAAATTTTAAAATGGTAGACCAGAACATTTGTTCTTATTCTCTTGCTATTCAAATATACAGTAATAGAGCCACTGGGGGGAAAAAAAACCCACTTGATTGATTGAAATTGTTATAATAGAGTGTAATAATATGCTGTAGTATACAAAAAACTAAGCAAAGAGAAATTATGTAGCAAAACCAGCACACCAAATCAGACTCAACAGGAAGTCACAGCAAATCACAGATAATTGAGACGTGAGTATTTCTCAACCTCAGCAACTATAAGCTGTATGGACTTCAATTCCCAGAATTCCTCAGGCAGCATTGCTGAGGTAAAGACCATACAGCTTAAAGTTGCTGAGGTTGAGAAACACTACATTAATTAAATGTAATTCATATTACCTATCATTTAAATTTCTTTTAGGACCCATTTCTCATATAGTACTTGATTCCAACCCCCAGTGCTCAATCCTATGTGAAAATGAAGCATGTTAATTTTTTTTTAAAAAAAGTTTCTATGGCACCGGTGTCAAACTTGTGGTGTCATGTTGCCGTCACATGACGTTTCGCGATGTTTTTCCCTTCGTGGAGCTGGGGTGGGTGTGGCCTGTGCATGACGCATCCGGCCCATGGGCTGCCAGTTTGACACCCCTGTTCTATGGGCTACCATTTGTTACCATTTTTCCCCCAGCTATATGGTATTTATTATAATCTCTTCTTTCTATGAAGCCATTATTATAGTATATGCTGTGTAAAGGCTTTGGATAACGAGTGGTGAATTGTTATACATATTAAGACAAAACTTGTAAAAGCAGAATGTTTTAAGCCCATTATTTCTAAGAATTAATAGTCACTACTTAGTAAGTGTTCAAACACTCCTCTTTATAACCCAACAAGCTTATTTTTACAAGTTGCTCCAAAACATTCAGCTCAATTAATGACTGGAAAACCCAAACACCAAACATTTTTATAAGAAAAGACAGAAGCTAACACACTTCAGGATTATTGGCTTGTTTTCCAAACACCATCCTAAGGAATTACTCAACTTCTCCACTGCTATTTAGTTACAACAGCACATTGTCTATACTGCCTCTCTTGAATTCCAGTGAGAATATAAAAGTTTTCAATGTATATTTTTATCTTCATTAAAAACAAACACAGCACTAGGTTTAAAAAATACCCACAAAAGAAGATGGAGACATTTCAGTGCCACAAGTGAGACATTTTTATATAAACCTCAACTGAATTAAATCATTTGGCGTGTCATACTTCTTGCATGATAGAGCACATGTTGAGTAAAGAGTCATTTTTACAAGGTTGTATGGAAACGGGGCTAATACGATGACAATTTTTCAGGGCCTGACCTTATCGCAGTTGTGCACTGAGGCTACAAATTGGACACTTGCAACCCTATTACATGGAAATAAATTGGAAATGACATATTATTTATACAGATGTATACATGCCTCTTGATATTTGGAGGGAAGAGCATTTAACTTTTATTTATTGCTCCAGTAAAATATAATTAAGTAGTTGCTACCTTGACATGGCAGGATGGCAGGATACAATAACATTGCTTACATATCTGGGTTGGCTTATTACTTTGCAGCTGAATCAATTCTTCACAAAGGCAGAGAAGACCCATCCTGGAAAGCAGTCCAAGACAGACCTACAAGCTATTTTTATTATGTTTATAAGAAACAGGTTGATACCCGACACATCAATATTTGTTTGAAAGCAAGTCCTATTATTTTTGATGGAACACATTTTAAAACAGGCTGAAATCTTCTATACATTTAGTTAGAAGTGGGTCTCATTGGATTCAGATAAATTGGATTGCTCCCTTTACATTCTGCGAATTTTCATAATTTGAACAGTTGGAATCAGATCCCTTTTGTTATGAGATATAAAATTATCTGATAGCAATATTATCTGCAGCTCATCCCCAGTGAACCAAACAAAGTCTACACTGGTGTGTTGTAATCCCATGTACATTTATATGTAAGAAAACTCAACTGAAATTAACAGGATTTATTTTGAAGAAACAGCATTTGCTTGTACAAATATTTATTGTTCATTTTATAGTATCTGCAAATCCTAGGGTTGTGCATATTTCAAAAATGACTCTGGAAAAATGTTTTGCACTTTTTATCAACGTACACTTCACAGCTGTTAATTACAGAAACCTGACTTTTCTGGCTCCATATGAGTCTGAATAAAGATGTCACTGCTTTATGGAATAATCCATAAAATTAATGTGACCGTTAACCCCTGTCGCCTCAAATCCTGACCCCACATAATTTAAATCACAATTGTGCACGTCTGCATCCCACTTTTTCTTTTTTCTTTTCACAGTCCTTGAATCTTGTTTGACCATGTCGAGGAAATGTATCACCACAATACGCAGCATTTTGGCAACAAGAACCTGCTCAGATCATCTCAACCCTTCCAGAAAGCCCTACCCTTGTCCAAGGATGCGATGAAGTTCTACACACTCTCAGGATCCCAAAGCCTATGGCTTCCACGAACTTCTTGCAAATGTATTTAAAGGTAGTCCTTGATTTATAACAGTTCATTTTATGATGGTTTGAAGTTTTAACAGAACTGTGAAAAAGTGACCTATGACCATTTTTCATACTTACGACCCTTACAACATCTCCATGGTCACGTGATCAAAAGCAAAATTCAGATGCTTGGCCACTGACTCATATTTATGGACGGTTGCAATGTCCCGGGGTCATGTGATCTCCTTTTGTGACAAGCAAAGTCAATGGGAAAGTCAGAATCACTTAACAACCAAGTTACTAACTTAACAACTGCACTGACTGTCTTAACAACTGTGCAAGGAAGGTTGTAAAATGGGGCAAAATTCACTTAACAAATGTTTCGCTTAGCAACAGAAATTCTGGGCTCAATTGAGGTCATAAATCGAGGACTATCTATACTGTATTTCCAAAAAAATTGATCATCCCTGATGCAAATCTAAAGGCAAATAAACCAGTGGTGAAATGTAAAATTTGTTACTATCGGTTCTGTGGGCGTGGCTTGGTGGTGGGGTAATGTTACTAGGTGGGCGTGGCCAACCTTTTTTTTTCTTTTTTAAAGCATTTTTTTACAACCTATTCTGGCGAATAGGTTGTAAAAATGCTTTTAAAAGGTAAAAAAAGGCTCTAACAATCACAGCTGTGGCGCGTGATCATCAGAGCCTTTTATTTACCTTTTAAAAGCAGGAAGTAATGATACCTGAGTGGGTGGGCGGAGTCTCGTGCCGCCATTGCTATGGTTCTCTGAACCACCTGCCACAATTGCTACCGGATTGCCCGATCTGGTCCAAACCGGGAGCATTTCACCCCTGAAATAAACCCAAACTGACATGCTGCAGTTCATTGCTGCCACTGCCTATGGTTCACACTCAAGGTCCAGAGCAGCCTTTCTCAACTTTTTTTTTACCTAGGAAGAAGCCTTGACATAATTTTTAATTAGATTTTTTTTGATTAGGGATGATCTTCTTTTGGAGTATGATTATTGATAAGCTATGAAATACCGTGTTTCCCTGAAAATAAGACAGGGTCTTATTTTCTTTTGAATCCCAAAATAAGGACTTGGCCTTATTATTGGGGGGGGGGTCTTATTATTTTTGGGGTGCAGGAGGCCCGGGCAGCCTGCACACTCACAGCCGGGAGACTGGCAGAGAGAGGTTCCCTTTGTGCACCGCCATCAAGCCCCTCCCCTCCTGGGGTGTGTGTATAGAATGTGAGCACCAAGCCGTGCAAGTGCCCACCCCCTCTGCTTGCGCGCCTCCCAGGCCTCACTATGTCGATGTGGGGGAAGCTGGTGAACACCAGGTCCTTGAGCTCATAGCAGAAGCCATGGCCTGGGCCAGCTCTCCCTGCAGGCTCCAGTCCAGCCGTCACCATAGAATGGGAAGCACATTCCCAGAGTGGCCGTTGCCCTGGCTGGGGTTTGGAAGCCGCAGAGGCAGAGTTTGGGGGAGAGAAAGAAAGACTTCTGCTGCTTCTGCTTTTGGCTGCATGCAAGGAAAGCAGCAGAAGCACCAGAAGTCTTTCTTTCTCTCCCCCAAACTCTGCCTCTGCGGCTTCCAAACCAAAGCGCAGGGTATGTGGATGCAGTACCTAGGCGTGGGGGAGAGAGTGGGCGGGCTGCTACCAGGGAGCAGGAGCAGGCACTCGAAGTTTATGGTTAGTGCCATGGGCGGTGAAAGGGGTGAGGGGGCCGCAGGAGTTTGCAGGTTGCAGCCTTGGGAGGACTGGGGGAGGTGAGGGACCTGTGTGTGTGTGTGTGTGTGTGTGTGTGTGTATGTGTGTGTGTGTGTGTGTGAGAGAGAGGGGGGGGCTTATTTTCAGGGGAGGGCGTATATTTAGGCCCACTCCAAAAATAAAGCTTAGCCTTATTTTCAGGACATGTCTTATTTTTGGGGAAACACGGTAGGGAAAGAAGAGATTTGTTAAAATTAAAGAATGAGGGAAGGATCATCCAAATTGCTTATACAATGCCTGGAAGGAGCGGGGAAGAGTCATTTTAATATTTTTTTTCTTTTCTTTCTTTCCATTTCTTTTTCACTTTTCTTTTAATATTTTCTTTAGATTCTATTAGATTTTCACTGTGTTTGTAAACTTTAATAAAATTATTGTTAAAAAATTAATAATTTTTAGCCCTTAGGAACCTTTGCAAGGAATGATTATATCTACAGCTAATATTGCACAGCAGGCAAAGTTAAAAAAAAAACCCAGTGTGTTTGTTTGGGTATGCATGCTTGTGTGTGTATGTGTGAGTTTGCATGTACGTCTTTATGTGATTTGCAATGTCTGTTACAGGGTTTATAGGATCTATAAAATCAGCGTTGCTTCCTTTTGTTCTAGAGTCATGGCTAGCGCGATTCCTTCTCGCCGAGTGAAAGGGGAAATGGCTTGCTGACATTTGTCATTCTCAGTTGTGAAGAAGGTTCACTCTTCCGAGTCCATCACCCAAATAATAGAATTAACTCTTCATTGTTACCTAATTATGTGTTATTCAATGAACTCAATTGCTGGGGCTGGCAGAAGATACTTAATCATAAATTAGCCACATAGACTGGGCTCATGCAACTCACCAGATTTAATATAATTGGCTATGTTAATAGTTCACATGTCATGTAAATATAAGCAACCTTTTCCCTTTTCATCTTGCCACTGACTTGACAAGCTAAGTTTTAACTACTGACATAGAGTCACATTATTCTTTAGGGCACCCAGTGTCTCCCCCCCTTTTAAATATCAAGGCCCCAAAATGCTTGGATGTTGTATTTCTAAAAGTAGAACTGCAGATATAGCTTTTCCCATTTACACAGCTCAATGGCATCAGGGCCGTATCTGGGTTTCTTTCTGTCATGCAGTTCTTGTTCATACAAAGTGGTCTCATTTCAGATCTGGAAGATCAGAGCAGATGCATCACTGTCTTGTTATGTAAGGAATGAGAGTGTCCCATCTGAATGCTGCCAAATATGCTTGTCAAGCACAGTAAGTAAACTGTATGACAGATAACTTCCTAGTAAATTATTTTGGAAAAGGAGCAAGCCAGATTTAGGGAAGAACTGTCTACATTTGATCAATGTCTGGTTCTCCATCATATAACAAAAAAGGGCATTTCTTCCTCTTAGGTCAAATGTTGTGTGTGCTTTACGGATTTAACGGCAGGTTTCAGTCTGATTCTTAGAAACAGGCTATAGGGGAAATTGCCTGTTGATTCTTCATCAATTAGGGTTGTCTCACCTTGGTGATAAAATACGACAGAATAGAATAACAGAGTTGGAAGGGACCTTGGAGGTCTTATAATCCAACCCTCTACTTAGGCAGGAAACCCTATACCATTTCAGACAAATGGTTATCTAATCTCTTCTTAAAAACTTCCAGTGTTGGAGCATTTATAACTTCTGGAAGCAAGTTGTTCCACTGATTAATTGTTCTGACTGTCAGGAAATTTCTCCTTAGTTCTAAGTTGCTTCTCTCCTTCATTAGTTTCCACCCATTGCTTCTTGTTCTACCCTCGGGTTCTTTGGAGAATAGCTTGACTCCCTCTTCTTTGTGGCAGCATCTCAGATATTGGAAGACTGCTATCATGTCAGCCCTAGTCCTTCTTTTCATCAAATCTCATGAAAATAATTCTATGCAACTCTGTTGTGGTTCTCCAGACCTTCTCTCCCTGTCTAATTCCTAAGTGAAAAGGAATGAAACAAGAATGCACCTTGTCATTTATCCTTTTTCAATTCCAATAGATTCCCTGGTTTTGTTTGAAGTGGAATTTCAATTACAATGCCTTCCAAGGAACCTATTTCAATTCTATTGCATGCATAAGAGATAGCCTTCTTCTCTACAGCTCAGGTGGGCTTCAGATGTTTTCTACAAGCATCCTGTAGGGAAGAAAGTCTAGTCATCAAAACATGGCAAAATCAAAACTGGTATATTCTCCAAAAGACCTGCAACTTGCCACCACTCTGGAAAATTGATGATATCTGCAATGATCAGTCCAACATATTCAAAGAGTGGAGTCTTTTTTCATGCAGTGCCATTAAGAATGAACATTAAGGGCTGTTCATATAATGTTGCAACTACTAGAAGGGCTTGGGCATATAATGTTGCAAATACTATTCTGTGTTATGCAAATTATAATGGTAATAATCATATCCCCAGCTGCAATAAAAATTTATAGAGATAAGGTCACGAGCCTTTTGGCTTATGGCACCCAGATATATAATTACCATAATTTGGCTTGTCTGTAAGCCATCAAATGTAAATGTTTAAGGACCTTGCTGTGATTTCCCAGTGTATTCTCAACCCCTTGCTAAGGCAGAAAGTCAGTTTCATTTCCACAGAGACTCATATGTAGCTTTGATGCTTGAAATTTGGGTTGAAACCCATTTTCTTTGAGAGTTTCCTGGCCATCTTGACCTTACACAAGAAATTCACATCATGGATGGCAAAAATCGATTAGAATTTAAATGTTGTGGCATATCTGATGGAACACATGGTTTCAGTTCAAAAAAGGTTTGCACAAATTGAAAAAAAAAGTATTTTCAACTCAGATTCTGAAAGATTTAAAGGCTAGCCTAACTTGTTTAGGTTTACCTTGATGACATGTTCCACTTGAGTCACAAAATAGCCCTTTAATATTTTTTATTTAAGATTTTGCCATTAGCAATGCTGAAAGTTTTAATAAAAATTTTCAGCAAATTGCCTATTGGAAGAATTTTAATACGTTCTGCAGGTACTTCTTCATTGCAGGTACTTCTTGTACAGCTTGCCACAAGGATCTAATAAAGAAGGTAGGATGATCACGAGAAAAACATGCACATTGAGGAAATACCTTTATGAAGAGTTACATGGTACTTGCAGAGTTAACTGATGTGGGATGCAAATTCTGGATGACCATTAAATTTCAACAAAGCATTTTCTCTACTTCTTTTCAGCCATCTAGTTGTGACCCATATTTTGGTAGCTCATCTATATGCTTAAGTCTCATTTCAAATTTTAGGTCATAATCGAGATATTTTCCCATAAGATAAAATTCTAATTGTAAAGGACAGCAGCGGGTAAGATAGTTGGGTGGAGCTGAATCACTGGTGTACAGGTGAAGGTGCTGACCTAGAAACCAGGCGCAAAAGCCATCTGGTTGACTTTGGGCCAGTCACTCTCTCTCAGACCAACCTACCTCAGGAAGTTGTTATTGTGACGAAAATAGGAGGAGGAAAGAGTATTAGATATGTTTGTTTCCTAGAATTACTTATATAGTAATAAAGGCGAAAAGATAAAAAGATAAAAATCAAGCAAACAAACAAATAAATAAACTTTGGGTGATTATTTGTTTTAATGATATTAGACCTACCTACCTACCTACCTACCTTCCTTCCTTCCTTCCTTCCTTCCTTCCTTCCTTCCTTCCTTCCTTCCTTCCTTCCTCCCTCCCTCCCTCCCTCCCTCCCTCCCTCCTTCCTTCCTTCCTTCCTTCCTTCCTTCCTTCCTTCCTTCCTTTAAATTTGGAAGTAATTATACTGCTTCAAAAAGATAGAAAATCAAAATCTGGCAGAGTAGTTAGAGAGAGGCTTGTCGGCTTTTTTTTTTTTAAGTGAGTATAAGTCTGGTCTGTATAGTGTTAGGCATAAGAACCAAGGTTTAGAAATATTGAATTTGGCAAAGTTTCTTCTTCTGTACTGCTATGAAAAATAGGGCTCCATCATTGCACCCAAGTAGCCATATGCAACTGATGATGGCTACATTATGTGGTAGTGATCTTATAGATATTGTATTCATACAACATTGAATCCAAGATTAACATACTCACAGCTTCTTCAATTTATCCAATTTTGCTGTGTACTTTTGACACATTAAGCCATAAATTAACTACACTGTTTCATTTGTACAGTAACATGATTATTTTTTGGACATTAATATATTGTGGAACATAGCCAGTTTTCATCCCTAGAAAACTGATCCAAATTTGCTGTGTTTCTGCTGTGAAAAGCAGTCCAGGAAGAGAGATCAGTTGGGCAATGGGGGAAATGGCCAAGGTTTTCTGGAGTTGTTTTTCTGCATACTGTGTGCTGATCATCATGTTGACCATCTGTGATCTGGATTATTTTCTCTTCTGACAGCTGATGATTTTCTATTACCTGTTCATTTAACAAAAGACATCAGATATTGAATCTGGGTTTGCTAGCTGAACTTCCTTTAAAGGTTATTAACATTACCTGGACTGATTTGATAATATAACTCAGGATTGCTTGTACTGAAACTGAGATTAATATACCTTTTAGAACTAGAAATAGGACATCATTTATTTCATATATAATTTACAACATGGCATGCATGCATCTGTGCCATAATTCTGAAGGATTCTTGGTGTTTAAACATTCACAAAAATTAAGATTAAATTTTAAAAAATCATACAACATCTCAACCTCTCAATAATTCATCAGCCTTCAATGCAGTGGTGAAATCTGAACCGGTTTGCTACTGGTTCGCTGGTTGCACATGCATGTTTCGTGCCAAGCATGTGCTGCGTGCACACACATGTGCAGTACATGCCAAAAGGAGGCTTGGGAAGGTAAGTAGAACAGTGAGGGGGGGATCAGCTGTGCCGCGTGGTTTAGCTTTGTTAGAAAGCAGGATTTCCTGCTTTCTAGAAATGCTAAACCGCACGGCACAGCTGATTGTGGGAAATACTGGTTCAGACGATCCGTGTTCTGTTCCCCCACCTCACATAGGCAGACACATGAGCAAAAGACGTCTACCAGTAATTTATTTTTACAAGCTGACCTGAATCCTTTGGCAGATAAAAGTTCTGGCAGCTGCTTTCCGAATGCCTGACAAGTTTCTTAACACCTCTAGAAACAGGAATCAGCTTATCTGTAGTCCATTGCTGGGGCAACCAAGAGTTCACAAGGCACAAAAGAGTAGTCAGAAGTCATTCACAAAGTCCAAGCCTTAATTTCAAAAGCTATCCCATCTGAAGCTCATGATATGCAGTTTTTGTCCGTCACAGAGCCTGCAGAGCAACCCCACTCACTTTTATCCCCTGTGGGACATGGCTCAGTGACTCAGCAATTTCTGGCCCTTCCACACCTCTTCCTTTGCTGCGCATGCCTCTCCCTCCGACGCTGCCTGGGATCAATCCAAGATTGATCTTCATCACTCCCTATTAGTGGGTGCTCTGACATACCTTCCTCCTGGCCTTCAGGTGGAAGCTGAGGCGTTGCCAGAAAGGAGGGTCCTGGAGAGGGAGGCCTTGTTAGTTCCTCCCCATCACTTTCAGAGTCATCTTCCTCCATGAGGACAGGCTCGGGAGCCAGAGTCATAACAATCCGGTAGCTTTTTTTTTATACAGGTTTGCCCGAACCGGTAGATTTTATCATTACTGGTTCGCCTGAACCAGAGCGAACTGGTAGCATTTCACCCCTGCTTCAATGTACAGCACAGATAACATTATGTGACAAATGTTTTCCATAAAAGCTCTGTATTTAGTTGATTCCAGAAGGTAGCCAAAGTAGGGCTCCATCTAATTTTTACTGGGGGCAGGGGCTATTCCAAAGGCCTGGTGCTATTATTGAAAATCATCTACAAGCCTCAACTTCTTTCAGCTCCCAAAAGTAGTATTTCCTGGCATGATGAAATTGGTTGAGTATCTCTAATGGAAAATGTGGTCTTGAAGGTAATTTGGTGCTAAGCCATAAAGGGAGAAGAAAATTAAGAAGCCACTTGGTAAGAAATGCAGGCTCTGATGTTCCCCATCAACAAATGCTGACTAACATGGTGTGTGTGTGTGTCACAAGGATTATAAGGAAAAATGTAAAATATCCAGAAATATTGAAACTGTGGGGGGAAAAGTCTATGTTGGAAGTAGAAAAACACTAGAAATTTGCGGAAAATAAAGTATATCCATTAACAATCACGTAAACCTTTTGTGATCTAACATTTTATGAATACACAATGCAATATATTTAACTTGGTTTATTCTCACTGGTGTCATTTATTCATTAAATGTGAAAGTATAATTTAATCATTAATTAAATTTTAAAAAGTTTTTAAATATTTCTCTTGTGCCTTTTTTTTGAACCTAGTCAAGAAAAGATCCACTAATTTCTAGTTTAAAAGTCAGCCGTCAACAAGCCCCAAGCTAATCAGACCTTCTTTCCTTCCTTTAATGGTAGAATTGTCTCACCTACTTGCGAGAGCATAAATGCGTCTTTGTCTTACAATTGAGAGATGTCTTCTGTGTATAAATTCTGTAGTACAGGTAGTCCTGGACTTACAACAGTTCATCTAGTGACCATTCAAAGTTACAAAAAGTGACTTATGACCATTGTCCACACTTACGACCATTGCAGCATCCCCATGGTCACGTGATCAAAATCCTGATGCTTGGCAAGTGGTTCATATTTATGACGGTGGTAGGGCCCCTGGGTCATGCGATGAGCTTTTGTGACCTTCTGACAAGCAAAATCAATGCAGAATCCAGATTCACTTAACAACCATGTCACTAGCTTAACAAATGCAATGATTCACTTAACAACTTTGGCAAGAAAAGTTTTAAAATGGGGCAAACTCACTTAACAAATGTTTCACTTAGCAACTTAAATTTTGGGCTCAATTGTGGTCATCACTCAAGGACTATTTATTCTCCTGTGCTCTCACTCTTTAATCTTTCTATTACAAGTTAATATAAACCATTTTTGGAAAATGCAAGTTGGCAATATATGCACATCTTATATTAATGGATTAATTATTCTAACAGGAAACATTTTGTTAGAATGTCTTTACTCTTTTCATTTTCATTTTTTTTAAGACAGCACATACCTTGGGGAACATAAATAAAAACCACAGCCTAGGCAATGGTCATGAAAAAGGTATCTCAACGAAGAAGAAGAAGAAGAAGAAGAAGAAGAAGAAGAAGAAGAAGAAGAACACTTTCAATATTTTTATATACTTTTTTAAAGCAGGCTTTTCTAATCTGATGCCCTCCAGATTATCATTATTATCATACATGATTTTGTGAATCCAAGATAAGAAAGCTTTCCAAATCATGCTTTTTTTTTTAAAATTTGATTTATATGCTGCCTTTCTCCGGAGACTCAGGGCGGCTTACAATGCGTTAAGCAATAGCCTTCATACTTTTGTATATTTTATACAAAGTCAGCTTATTGCCCCCACAAACTGGGTCCTCAATGCTTTTGATTTATTATTTGTATATTTCTCTTAATTATTAAGATTTGATTTGTAAATCAATTATGTCATCTTTTTCCACGGCACTCTTATATTCTGGAATTTTAAAATCCATTTTTGGATCCACTACTTCTTTTTCCACATCACTCTTATAATCTCTTTTTTTTAAAGGCCAAATCCACATTTAAATTAGCCTCAGTCTCTATTTTTTCCAATAAAATCTGTTGTTCCATATTATCTATTATAATATCAGACAATCTTTTAAGTATTTTCTGAGCATATTGTTACTGAACAGCCTTAATTTCTTCAATAGTCAAATAGTATTGTTCCATTGCGTTAATGGGCTGCTTCTTTAATTATATCTAATTCTTTCTGGTTCTCTCTAGTCACCCTTCAATGTCCCTTCTTATCTTCTATTCATTTTCCAATCACCAAAATTTTCCCAAAGAGGATTTCTTACAATTAATTTCAAAGTCTTCATATATTTTTTAATAAAATTTTAAACACCTCACAGGAAATATTCTTTCAAGACCATCTAAACCCTTAACTTTCTAAATTCCACATTCTACTCTTCTTTTACTGTTTTCCAAAAAGTAACTCTTTTAAAAAGAAAAGTCTTAAATTTACATAAAGCTTCTTTCATCCAGGGTTAAAGGAGATTCATCTGGCATAGTAAAGCTTGCCTTTCACAAGATTCTTAACTTCTAGTAAATCAGTAATGAACAACTTCCTAAACTAGCTAAGAGAGGAAGTGGGTGAACCCAGTATCTCTTTAAAAGTGCCAAACTGTGGCACTTTGGCACATCTTGCCAAGCAAGATGTTTTTTCCTCATGGTTCCTAGAACTCTCAAACCCACTAGAAATTGCTATTTTACAGTATCTTCACAGGGAGATTCTATATGGAACAAATTTATGTGTGATCCTTGTCATTTCTTTGATATGGAGAGAAGTTCCAAGGAGCAGATCCATTCACCATTTCTTCTATTTGCTGTCATCAGTCTCCCACTCCAATCACGGAGTGCAATCATGCAAAAAACAAAATACAGTCTCACATTCATTTTCCTGAAAATATTCCTGAACAGATTTCAGGGAAACATTAAAAAATATCACATAATAACTGTTGACCATTGAGAGTGGAGACTATATTACAATTCAAATTGTCAGACAGATGGGCAATCAGGGCTTTCTATCTATTTTAATTTCATAGACTTACTAATGTTTTAGTATTGCTTTAATATTTTGCATTTTAGACTGTATGGAAGACATGAACCTATAAAAGAAAATAAAGAACTAGGCAGAATCCTGAAAATTGTTATGGCCAATTTTATTTCAATTAAACCAAATTGCACTTTACCAGTTTAACTGCAGAAAGTAGAGAATGATATTTTCTAAGTAACTTCTATCAGCCTTGAGTTAAAATAGGAGTCTTATTATGTCTGGTGAAAAGTAATTTACTTTTAGAAAACTCTCTACTTTATTAATACCTCATCACGCATATTTCAAAACTACAAGTCAGTATTATGCAGTTTCCCAAATAAAATGCACCTTCATAGCTTATAGAGGTAAATTGAAAATGAAATTTGTCAAGACAGTGATTGATATCTAAAAGTGTTTTGTTTTCAGTGACTGGCACTGCCAAGTTACAACCATCTATCATCTAACAGGTAATTAACCATATTTCTCATCATGAGCTTTCAATCCTGCTGTTTCATTATTGAAATACCACAAATCAGTAAGCACCTGAATGCAGATAGAATTCCTTGTCATGGCCAAAGAAAATGCAATGTGACTCTAATATGTTCGAGGAGAAGTCAATGAAATGTAAAGCTCAAAATGTTAAGGAGACACATTTATGTTTTGTGTTTTGTAGAGATGTTCATAGGTTTCAAAAATGCTTATTAAATCTTGAAGCACTCAACAACTCATTCTTTTATTTCACCGATTTTAAGAGTGGAAGTATTCAGTAACTCATGATTTGGTTAACTGTTAGTCTCTTCAAGATACATGAGAAGCAGGGGTGAAATGCTTCCAGTTTGGACCGGATCACCTGATCCGGTAGCGATGGAGGCGGGTAGTTTGGAGAACTGGTAGCAAAAATCCCTGCCCCCCCCCATGCCCAGCTGAGCTACGCGATCATCAGAGGCTTTTAAAAGTAAAAAAAAAAAAGCCTCTGATGATTGCGCGGCTCAGCTGGGATCATCAGAGGCTTTTAAAAGCATTTTTTCTACAAGCTCTTCATCTGAAGAGGTTGTAGAAAAAAAAAAGCTTATAAAAGCCTCTGACGATCCGAGCTGAGTTGCCTGATTGGCAGAGGCATTTTTTCTTTTAAAAGCCTCTGTCGATCAGGCAACTCAGCTGGGATCGTCAGAACCTTTTAAAAGCATTTTTTTACAACCTCTTTGGCTGAAGAGCTTGTAGAAAAAATAGTTTTAAAAGTAAAAAAAAAAAGTTGGCCACGCCCACCCAGTCACATTACCACCCCCCACCAAGCCACGCCCACAGAAACGGTAGTAACAAATTTTAGATTTCACCACTGATGGGAGGTATCTGCTATGCCTATACTTTTAGTTCAATTTCAGCAGAAACTAGAGGAAAAGTATAAATACATTGAAAAGGCAATTGTCATATCTGAAGTCGATCAACTTCTAATAATTATTTGCTATTTTTTTGTGCTTTACACCTTTAGATAAAATAAGGACTAAGGTAGTATTTATTGGACTAGTGATTATGTGAAATGGAAATTGAATTGTGTCGAAAGGGTACAACTGGCTTACAACATGAAGCTGTGCAAAGACCCTCCTATCCATGATTACCACCTATTTCTTGAGTATGTGAGTCTAGAAAGAACCTAGATTGCACACTGGCTCTGTCTGGAGTAGTGCCACCTCATTTATTTGGCAATCTTTTTTCTTTAACTGTAGGGCTTTTCAAAGGGAATGAAATATCATCATCATCATCATCATCATCATCATCATCATCAACAACAACAACATCAACATCATCTTCAACTAGAGCCAAGTATATCAGGATTCATAGCATTATTGGCCCACCATTAAAAATATATATATATAGTTTGCTTTGTAGCAAACCAGTCACTGGTACTTTAGGAAAATATGCAAAAAAATTAATATAATAATGTTAATGGCTTTTTAATCAAGTAGAAAAAAAGGGCAAGAACAGATCAAACTTAAATCTGAATTGATGTCTGCCTCTGTCTCTCCACTAGCTATATGACTTATCATATACTCATGGATATCTATTGCATTAAATTTGCATGGATCACATATTTTTTTACAATACAAAAATTAAACTGGAGAATCAAAACAAGAAATAGATTTAGAACTATGTGACCTGAAAGGGGGTCTATGAACAGGAATGGGAAGTCACATAGAAAACAAGACAAGGACAATAAATATATTTTTAAATGATTGTTACACAATGGCTCTTTTGGTTTACTCCAATTTCTCCCTGTAAGTTTCTTCTTCAACTATTGAACCATTTTGTTCCCTGCCATCCTACACCTATCAGCAGGTTGTCTGCATTGCTTATACTTGACCTTTGCAATTACATAATTCATAAAACACTTTCTCTCTAGGCAACCACTAAGATGCTAAACATTTCTTCAATAGAGCGAATTTATATAATGCTATATAATCAGGATATTTTATCCTTTGAGTTACTACTTCTTACATTTCCTTTGTTTCAAATAATTGCAATTTCACCCAGGGATCTGAAATTTTGTGCATAAATGAAATTACATCTTTTATATAAACATAGAACTATAGCCAAGTTTGAAATTTAGCAAGATCTTTATTCAGAGAAAACAATTATAAAAAGGTTCAGGAGATGTCCTTCTTTTTCTTTCTCGAGTGTGTTTTACCTACTTGTGTACTTTAGACCTATAGATTAATGCATATTATTATGACAAATCTGATTTTAGGATCACAAGTACTGAAGAAATCAACCAGTCTTTTGAAAAGCCCAGCAATGAGTAAAATAAAAATTATGGAAGTGGTCAATAAAGGTTTTTGCAACTAATGCTAATGCAAAAACCAATTGATAACATTTTTAACATTCTGTTTTCCTTTTTAGCAATGTGTTCATGCATAATTATTTTATTACTGATTAAAAGTTTTATATCAATAAAGTTAGATAATGTAAGAGAAATAGAATATTTCCTAAATCAGGCATATAATATTATTTATTTAAAATAAAACAAGAAATGTAATTCTTACTTCAAGCAATCAGGACTTCCTAAAAAGTTAAGAAGCCTTCTGAATCTTTTTTTAAAAGAAAAATATAACTTGGATAGAAAATAAATATCAGGGCAGCATTTGAAATACTTTTATTGAACTCTTGTAGTCATATCCTCTGTGAAATGGGTAGTGAATTATTTCTAAGGAGTTTTACAATGCTATTTATATTAAATTCCACATTAAAAATGGGAACTTCTTATATTCTTATAATAAAACAAGAGTGATGATAATTAGTGAAATGAATTAAAATAGCACAGACTTGTATACCACTTCATAGTGTTTTACAGCCCTCTCTAAATGTTTTACAGAGTCACCATATTGCCCCCAACAATCTGGCTCCTCATTTTACAACCTGGGAAGGATGAAAAACCGAGTCACCCTTGAGCTGGTAAGAATTGAACTCCTGGCAGTGAGCAGTGAGCTAGCCTGCAATACTGTATTCTAACCACTGTGCCACCATGGCAATACATTGTTATATTGTATGAAAAAGGGCCTGTGCATCTGGAACTAAGGTGATATGACCTGAGTTCTATCCCTTAGAGATTTGTTTATGATGTCTCAAAGCAAGTACAAAATGGCAGAGTTTGCATCACACTATTGTGATACATATTTATTGTGTATTTGTCCCCTAACTTCTTGACAATTCCTATGAAGTGAATGTCTGAGCACTCTTTTCAGTACAATCTCAGAGTTTACCTTGAGTGTGATAAATTAGCTGCCTGGTTTTTTGGATCCCATTAGCAAGAATCGTTAGGGCAAATCTAGGAGAAGTAGAAGACAATATGTTTTAAAGCAATGATGCTTAAAAATCCTATATTACCTGAGTGAAATTTTACATGCCTTATTCCATCATAACACAGGAAAAAATATTCCACTTGTGAAAAAAACTTAGGATCCTATTAGAATATGTGTAGGGTAAAAGTAATAAAAGGATCATAATGCTTGAAAATAATATTGTACTCCCAAATACTGATACCTGGCATGGTTCAACTTCATGTTCACATTTGTTTTTGTGATTTGGATTGTTCACAAATGCTTTACTGAACAAGTTCCTAGTGGGGCTATATAGTAGAGTTCTACCTTTTCTCTGTTTTATATATTTCCTCTAAACAATTTGGAATAGTCATAGAGGAAATAGCAAACTGGCTTGGATGGATTAAGGAATTTAAGCTTTAAGACATTTTTAGTTTAAGTCTCAAATGGTAGAAAACACAAAGGACAATAAATGCAGCTCGAAATGAGATTTTGCCAGAGAAAGCATTATTCATGGTCTATTAGTTGGCCATAAATTACTTGAGGAAAATTTGGGAGACAAGTAAATAACCAGTGAATAAGACTGAGTTTGGGGAAAGCACATTGTCTTACCCATATATATTCTAGAAAGATAGGAATTTGTCACAGAAAAATGGAAACAGATTGTAACAGGTTGACAGGCTGGGAACATAGAAGGACCCACATAAACTTCATTATACCTTTCTTTCACCAGTTTAAAGTGGTCTAACTTACATTCCAGTGTGATCTATTACAATGGGATGGTAATGGCACATAATGCTACAAAACATGAGTATAAAATTGGAGCCATAATGCTGTCAAGGACAAAGAGTAAACAACATCAGTGGAAAGAATCTGAGCAAGAGAAACTGTTTATGAAATGACCAGTTTGAATATACATGGGCTTCTAGCTGCTTTTCAGCTACCTGGAAGACCTTGTCACGTCTTCCATCAATCTCCTTTTTAGTAAGCCTATGTTTCTTCATGAGACATGGTTTCTATGTCCCCTGATTCCCTGTATTTGTGGCTGCACTCTGAATCTATTTTATCATAACTATATCTCTTTAAAAAGGCCACATTCTGATGTAAACAAATTATTTCAGATTTGTTTGTTTAGTCCTTGTTTACTCAGAATTCTCACAGGGTTTAATTGGTTTTATTCAATTTAAGAAGGATTACCTCTGAATAGATACGCATTGAATAGCACTATTAATATAATGTAATTGTAGATCTGAAAGAGCGTCTGAGGATTGGTTTCTTTTTCCCAGAGAGGCTCTGGGCATCATGTTCATTTTTAAATGAGATGGGTGGAACACAACTCAAATGAATGAATGAATGAATGAATGAATGAATGAATGAATGAATGAACGAACAAATGAACAAACAAACGAATGAATGAATGAACACATACATACATACATACATACATACATACATACATACATACATCATATTGATTTTGTGATGCTTGAGAAGTGAGGAAATGCAACACAAGATTCCTTTGAGATTGGACTCCCTTTCTATAATGGTATAATAATTATAATAAGGAAGATGGTGATGAAATTGTCTGGATTGCTTGTGTAGCTGAAACCCAGAACTGCAAGCTAGCAGATGAGTTCCCCTAATTTTATTAAATTCTATATGACAACACAGTTAACACTTCAGTCTGTACTGAGATTTAAGCCTTACCTCCCTCTCTCCTCCCTCCGTTCCTCCATCCCTCTCCTTCTCTCTCTCTCTCTCTCTCTCTTTCCCTCCCTCCATCCCCCCTCCCTCCCTCCCTCCCCCCACTCTCTCTCTCCCTACCCCCTGCAGGAATGAGCAACCCATAGAAATATTACAATAGTCCTCATATCCTCCTAAGATTATGTGGCTAAAATTTGGTACCAGTGTGATTTTTGCTTTATTAGACAAAAATAGCAATGAAAATAGATGTGCTAATAGATATTCTGCTCTGCACAATATCCTATTTTTGCATTGAATTTCCCAGGTGTCTTTGCCCTCTCCCCACCCAAGCCAATAATTTCATCCGTATCCCTCTAGAGAAGTCGCGGCTGATGATCTCAGAGGACAACTTATAAACAAAAATTAATTCTCCTTCAGCCCTGCAGAAATGCTGCCTGCCCATATAAACAACATTGGAATAGTTAAGACAATTGCATTTTAGGATGAATTGATATAAGAAAGGAGTAGAATTAGTTCATAAAGTAAAATAATATAAAATAAATGATGAATAAAATAATATGGTTAGATAGTGAAGAAATTCTAAATGTTTTTTTAAAAACAAATCTCCGGCGAACATCTGTTCAAATGAATTTACTGTTAACATTCACAGAAAAAATATAAAAGAGTGACATGTGGCACTGAAGATTTCTTATTATATCCAACAGCAATGCACATACGTGATATATGACATCCTTCCATAAATCCTAAACTTACACAGTATGCTAATCCTTGATTCCATATTTTTTTTAAAAAAAAAATGATTATACCCTGCTGCTATGAGCAAAGGCATACTAAAATCAGTTTTCTATGCTTTTCCAACAATGAAATGCAAGGCTGCACGCCATATAGCCAATACTTACCATATGTTAGAAGTTAATCCAGTAGACTTTAGTCACTGGTATGATTTGCGTAACTAAAAATCTCCCATTTTTAAAGCAGTAACCACAGTCTCCTTTATTATTATTATTATTCTTCCTCCAGCAAACCATTAGAAAAATGTTACTATTAGACAGAGAATGATCTCCTCTCCTGATACCACTCTAATTTTTTTTTTATGGCTCTTTCTATGACATAATTCCAGCTAGATATAAGGAGGGGGAAACCAGCATTTAAATCATTCATGGAAATTAATAAAAGCTCACATATTTATTCATCGTATTATGCAGAGCAGCTTTAAGACTGACCCAGTATATTGCAAGTTTTGTGAAGCAATTAAGAAGGATATTACCTTATGCAGTTAAAAATTAGACTGTATTACAGAGAACTACATATTTTATGGCAAAAAAGATGAATATATATATAATACATTATCCATAAAGCTGGCAATTAATTGTTATTAAAATAGCTGCAATCCTATATCCCTTTTAACCCTAGGAACAAAATTGCATTGATATAGAAATATTTAGGCACACCTAATACATTTTTGTAGTAGTTTTTAAAAATGAAGTCATAGAAATATGCCACGGATTGCAGTATGTGGAAATTAATATCATTTTGAATTGAAATAATAACATGGGGATACAATTACTAGTCTCAGTTTTTATATTTTATATGAAATTTGTCTTACACAAGAATCATCACAGGTTTTCTTCTTCACAATAAACCGTGGATGACAACTAGATTCAGAATACAGTACTATCTCTACACTTACACAGCAGTGGTGGGTTTCAAGATTTTTTACTACCGGTTTTGTGGATGTGGCTTGGTGGGTATGGCATGGCTTGGTGGGTATGGCTTGGTGGGCATGGCAGGGAAAGGATACTGTAAAATGTCCATTCCCACCCCACTCTAGGGGAAGGTTACTGCAAAATCCTCATTTCCTCCTGATCAGCTAGGACTCGGGAGGCAGAGAATAGATGGGGGCAGGGCCAGTCAGAGGTGATATTTACCAGTTCTCCGAACTACTCAAAATTTCCGCTACCGGTTCTCCATAACTGGTCAGAACCTGCTGAAACCCACCTCTGTTACACAGTCTCATTCCACACATACAATCTCATGAGTGTTGAAAGTAGTGCCTTAATTTTTAATAGGAAATTAAACAACTTCTATCCCTAATTTTTTTAGTGTAACCTTCAGCGTAAAGATGGCCCTACAAATTTGCCAACTACAGGTAGACCTCAATTCATGAACACAATTGAGTCAATTGCCAAGCATCTGAGGTTTGATCACATAACAATGGGGATGCTTCAATGGTCATAACTTTGAAAAATGGTCACAAGTCACTTTTTTCAGTGCCATTGTAACTTCGAGTGGTCACTAAATAAACTGTTGTAAGTCGAGGACTACTTGTATTTTAAACTTCAGTGTCACAGGCAGCACTGGCTGTCACTATTGCTGAGAGTCAGATCTCTGATAATTATAGATTTCTGCTCCTTTCATGCTATATCTATGCAAAAAAAGTAGACCAAGGACATGTCTCATAGAACACATCATTTTTTACAGAAGAACATTGATAGTGTAATTCTCCTTTAAACTATTTCTGATCAGCTTCAGAACATTCTTGAATAAAAGCATGTAGCCACAAGAAAAATAAATATGTTGATTTTCTATTGTGTCAGACCAAAGGTCTATATAAGTAAACGGTGTTTCTTATTAGGTGGATATTGGAAGCAGGATATGTGCTCTGGTATCTCAGCATCAGGTGGCTGAACAGTAATATAAAGCAGTGGTGAAATGTAAAATTTGTTACTACTGGTTCTGTGGACTGTGGGTTGGTGGAGGGGGGTATTATGACTGGGTGGGCATGGCCAACTTTTTTTCTTAACTTTTAAAAGCATTTTTTCTAAAACCTCTTCAGCCAAAGAAGTTGTAGAAAAAAATGCTTTTAAAAGGCTCTGACGATCCCAGATAAGCCGCATGATCATCAGAGGCTTTTTTTGTTTACTTTTAAAA